AATAAATAGTGGATTTGAGGGTCTGGTGTGAGTGGTATGCCAAGGTAGTGCTGTAGGAAACAACATGATTAAACATTTACAGTCTGCAGAGAGACCAGCTACATTTCACAGACAGGACAGAAGCGCTTGACCCGAAAATTCAATGCACAAACCATCTCTCAATGTCCCTCACATGTTGCTTTCCCTCATTCAGTAAGCAAGTCCTCCATTCATTCCTTCCTTCGATGCAGCTTGTGCACTTAGGATGCAATTCAGCGAGCCTTTCTGATTGGCTCTCTCCACAGTCAAAGAGCCATGCCTGAAAATGCATCAATAAAGTTATATTATCAGAAAAACATATCTGATTTCATTTCTGAACTCATAAAATGTATTATCAGCATCCATCTGAAGCTGTTCACATATTATTCTAGTATAACTTCACACCACCATGAGTCAAATACGTTTACGCAATGTTAACGTTAACATTCAGGATATAAAATATGCGTCTTCTGCTGTGATGGAGTGTGCCACTCTTCATGGCACTGGACGTAACTGGGGCATCTGTGTTGTGGTAACCATGACAACATGTGAGTTTGTCATCTACAGTGGCAAAGCTCTGAGGGGATTGAGCTCATGATGCGTCTGTACCAAACACCCACCCACATAAACACATACACACACACACACACACACACACACATATGTGCACATGCAACATACTACGGCTTTGGTTTACGCCACAGTAAAAGCATCTGATTCTTATAGGGTGTTATTTAGGAAGGTTGCAGGTTTGAATCTCACCACATTGTGCACTTTAGTGACCTTTTTTAAAGAAACTGTGTCACTTTGAATAAATGTCTGCTAAATAACTACTTCTTTAGCTGACTGTGTATTTTTACGTAAACACTAAAAATGTTTTCTGATATTATACTCGAATATGCAAAACAGGGTGGCAGTATGTAATATCAGTTTATTCTTTGCCAACACCTTCATTTATCAAACAGGCTACTATTCTACTACTGTAAGGCCACTAATTCTCTCCCACTTTGTTGCAGATGCTTCCCCCTCCCGAAAGATTTTTATTCACAAAACTGCGATAGAGACAGTTTGTTTCCAGCAAGCCGAGGCTTGTTAGCTGATGCATTTTGCTCTCTCCTCTGCGCTCAGTCATGATGCTTGTAGAAAATGAGACAATCGTTGTCAAGGTAACCAATCATCTTAAAAGAACTTATAATGCAAATAGCATTTGAAATCTATAGGGTCAATAATGTCAGAGTTAGCAGAGACCCGTTTATAAAAATATTTAATAAAGGAAAACCTGTTGCTCCTCTTTCTGACTCTGACTGTGCTATTTATAGATGTCATAAAAATATTGGTTTGAAAATAAAATCAAAAATCAAAACAAATTTTTTTTAACACTTTATATTAAGGAACACTATTAACTATAGTTGCTTATTAGCGTGCATATTACTAGCGTATTAGCTGTTTATTAGTACTTATAAAGCACATATTAATGCCTTATTGGTGGTCTTAGCTGGTTTAAACTGGAAGTAGCTGGTTTTAGCTGGTTGGTCAGCTGGTCTCCCAGCTGAACCAGCTAAAGAAGTGGCCAAACCCTGTCTAAAACTAGTCTGCAAACCAGTTATGACCAGGCTGGAAGACCAGTTAAAACCAGCTAACCAGCCATTTTTTTTCCCAGCAGGTGACCATATTCTAGATCCCTTATCCTGCCCAATACCAAAACACAACTACTACTACAAACCTTAATATCAATAAGCAACAAGTTAGGAGTTTACTGAGGGAAAACTCTTAGTTATTAATGAATCTGTCGTCCCTAGTCTAAAGTATTACCCCAAAAAACAAGGATTTTGCTACTGAACATCAGTATTCATGTGATCTTTAATAGGAAGTGTGATGTAAGAATAAGAATATTCGTAATCTTATTGTACGAACAGTTCAGATGATTGAATTAAACAAATGTCATAATTAACAAAGTGGGGCAGGGAGAGAGCAAGAGAGAAAGAACGAAAGAACATCCGGTCAAACCCCCCCCCCCCCCCAACCCCCCCCTTTAAAAAAAGAGTAAAAGAGTGGGTGGTAATCTTTAAATATTAAACACAGATATTTAGTTTCATTGTCAGTTTAATGACTGAATGCGTCTCTCTGTCTCTATTATTCACACACACACACACACACACACACACACACACACACGGACACATGGCCGTCTGTGAGGATGGCGTCACTAATGAAACAACTTTGGTGTGCCACATCAGAGTCCACCCACATTGTTGGTATATGGCACAGGTGGCCAGCTCCAACACGCTTTACCAACAAGCTGACTCACAAACACTCTCTCACCAGCTCTCTGTCTGTCTCTGGCATAATCAATTATACCCAGAAGTAAAGCGTTATGAATATTTATCAATCCACGATCTTTGAAGTTACCAAACCTGAACATTCACCTATCAAAAACTTCCAGTAATTGTCATGAGGTAAAAAAAAAAAAGTGAATAATTTAATGCGTCCTTGCTGAATAAAATGATTCAATTATTAATTTCATTTTAAAAAACAGTTCTTTAAAATAAATTGTTTTTATTTAGCAAGGAAGCATTGAACACAGAAGTAAAAGATGTATCAGCTTTATATAAAAAATAAAGCGCCACAATTGTTGTCAACACTGATAATAATAATTATTCCTTATAATAATTATATATAATATATATTCATTATTATAAGTCAGCATATCACAATGATGTCTGAAGGATCATGTGACATACAGTTAGTGAAATTAATGTACAGCATACAACCATCACACAAAATATATATTAACATTCACTGTTTATATATATATATACACACACACACACACAAAATAAAATAATTTCACTATTCACTATTGATATTAGCAAGTAATTATATATATATATATATATATATATATATAGTGGTGTATGTTGTACACTAACCTCCGTTAAACATACAATTTACAAAGAAATGTCTAAAAATGTCAGTGTTGTAATAGATTTAAATGACAAAATTGTGGGCTAACTTATTTTGATTTCACGGGATGAGAAAATTCTCCAAAATAACAGTCTTTAAAACTCATTTATCCAGACCTTTGTCCTTCTCTCTTTTCTAATGTAAGGATAAATAAAAAAAATAACATCAACAATTTCCTTTGCGGATCATTTCAAGAATACATAATGCTCCTTTGAACAGAGGCTGTGGCACCCATAAGGGCAGTTTTGTTTGGGAGTATATAACAGATTTCGATATAAAAGCATTTGAATATAATCATCAGGCAGATAATGCATAAAACAAACACAAAATGAATAACAATTACATATTCGACTTTAAAGATAATGACACAAAAGTTACAATAATTGTAATAACAGCAGATATATCACAAATATAATAAAAAGTGCTAAACATATCAATCACAAAGTTGGTATTAAACACTTCTGGCACATCATCACAAGTTGTGGTATCGTCAAATTTATGAAATAAAGATAAAATAAGACTATAGTGATTATTTTACCATGTAACTGTTACATCTGATCAGGCTGCCGTCCTTCAGAGGGCCCCCTCACCTGAATATTGAACTGTTACTTCCTGTTCCTGCCACATCAGTTCCTGTCTTGTCATGTATTTAAACCATGTGTTTCCACTGCCATTTTGCAAAGTATTGCCAGTTCCACTGCCGTACTAAACGTTCTTCCATGCCATTGCTGATGTTTGTTGTTATGACCAATGCTTTTGTTCTTCTGACTCATGTCTCTGGATTACCGTTTTGGATTTGTCTGCCATTCGATTGTTTCCATGTGTTTTGACGAAAGCCTGTGGCCTGACTTAAGATCTGTGAATATTTTTTGGACTTGAAGCACAGATCCTTGAATAAAGACCTGCATATGGAATCCACTCGGCCTACCTCTTACAGTAGCACATGGCTTAATGTATGACTGAGGGTTTACTGTTTTTCATGGTATAAGAACACTGACCAAGATTAGCACACTGTGTGAGAAGAGCTCCAGTCATACTAAACCAAAAGAGCAGAAACAGATGCCACACATGCCACAATTACACCCATGCAGTAGTTACAAAGCTTAATTTTAGATAGTACATGCCTTTATGCAAAAATAACTGTAATTGCAGGAGGCGTTGGTGAAATTAAAAAGTGTAGTGCAGCTGCCTCTTTTTGCACATTCCTGTTATGCAGTACCCTCGGAGCTCTGTGACTTTATGATTATTCTTGGGTCAAATTAAAGGAAGCTTTTCTATAAAAGCATACGTAAGACTTTCAGGAATTAAATATCTGGTCAAATTCAGGCCTTTTAACTTCGTTAAATATCTTAATTTACCTACATAATGGCAAGAAAGTGAAGAGGATGGAAAGTTAGTAGAAAGGTTGAGGTTCTTTAAATTTTAATCTTTAAAAGTTCTTCTTATTTTTTAGGCTTTTTGCCTTTATTTTACATGACAGTAGGGGTGAGAGAGAGGGAGCTAATTTTGGGACATGTCCGAGGTCTCAAACTTGCATCCCCAACTATATTAAGTTTTGTACCATCATAGAAGTTTCATATACAACAATCCTATACAATATATGTTCTGCTGGTTTCCCATTAAAATGAAATTCCCATTCACTTCCTGGAAGATGATGCCATTAAGAAACTGGTTTGTTTTTTATTTATTACTAGTCCAATCCAACCAAGTAGTAAACTAATTTCAAATGTATACCTTTTTTTTTTATGTGATTTGTTAATTCTAATTTAAAATGTGTAATATTTCATCCAATATAACAGGGATAAGAAAATGTACTTTATAACATAGGTGACCCATTTAATGGGAGCTTTTTTTACTCCCATTTTTAACGCACACCTAAATGTCAATGAGAACGTTAAAACTTTACATTTATTTGATAAACAAATATTTAGAGACACATATTCCCAGATACTGTTCAATCTCCAGACGGGGGTTTATAGTTGTGTGAAACCTGGCTGAGCAGCATAGAGCAGTTTGAGCTGCAGCAATAAAGCTATACTGCACGTCTACCTGAGAGAGAGAGAGAGAGAGAGAGAGAGAGAGAGAGCGCGAGCGCTCCAAGTGCAGGTTTCTGGGTTGAGAGCAGAACGCGCGAAACGAGCGTGGCACGCGGAATATTGGCCAAAAATACCGCGAACTCAAACACCAGGAGACGCTCAAAGGGAAGCGAACGAGAACGGTCGACAACGCCTATTTCTCCGACTCGCTCAAATTATCCGGTGAGTCTTCGTGTTTACATTAATTCCACGCAACTGTTGTCGCGGAATGCGTAGATTTGTTCCCCTAACGACTTTACCGAGCGCTTTCGTAATATAATGTGTTCGTTTTGTTTAACAGACTGCGCTGCGATTTTTTTTCTTTAGCAAATTCACCTGTGACTTAACGTTAACCTGTAACTAAAACTAGCGGGTGGCACAAACTCTTTCCACAACTTTAAGAGGTTCCGCGCCACAGTCATAATGCTTGTATTTACATTTGTATTTGCATGCTTGAACTTCCGTCAGGTGAATTTAGTCAGTTAAGTGTAAATAGTATTTCAAATATGTTTACATCAAACCCAAATCACTGCGTGTGCTGCGCGCAAGTGGACACTGCAGTTTCTGTCCATCGTTATTTCTTGACAGCAAAACCTGTCCATTTCAGGCAAGTTGTGTAATTAATCAGTTCATCTTCAGTTGATTTCTTGAACGTTAATTGTGCAGTGGACTGTCCTTTTTGTTTGATAACAAAAATATGTGTGGTAACATTTGTGTGGTAGCTTAGTGGTCAGCAATATGCATGTAATTTGCTAAAACAGGTAAATCCTTGCTGCATATACATTACATGGATGCTTGCAGATCTGGTTATTAGATTTGAAATGTATTATGTGTTTTATTTTTCCATCAGCCCAATGCTGCCCAATGCTGTCACATAATGACATTTTAAGGATTTTGTTTCAGCATCTGCAACTGAGTGGTGTTTTGTCTTGTATAACTAAAACATTGATATAATATTCTAATATTTATGTTCATCAGATTTAAGTGGTTTATAAATCGAATACTTATACCTAAATTGTGTAAATTAGTGTCTGATACAAAGAGTGCCGATGAAATTTAGTTGATTTCTTGAACGTTAATTGTGCAGTGGACTGTCCTTTTTGTTTGATAACAAAAATATGTATGGTAACATTTGTGTGGTAGCTTAGTGGTCAGCAATATGCATGTAATTTGCTAAAATAGGTAAATCCTTGCTGCATATACATTACATGGATGCTCGCAGATCTGGTTATTAGATTTGAAATGTATTATGTGTTTTATTTTTCCATCAGCCCAATGCTGCCCAATGCTGTCACATAATGACATTTTAAGGATTTTGTTTCAGCATCTGCAACTGAGTGGTGTTTTGTCTTGTATAACTAAAACATTGATATAATATTCTAATATTTATGTTCATCAGATTTAAGTGGTTTATAAATCGAATACTTATACCTAAATTGTGTAAATTAGTGTCTGATACAAAGAGTGCCGCTGTTACAACCTAGCACTTGGTGGGTTCTAACACTAATAAAAAAATGAAAATGTTGTGCTCTACTTTTACTTTATTGTGTTAATCAGACTTACTTAATCATAAAGGTATAAGGTCATCATGAAATTTAGGTGAACAAATAGGAAACATTTTAGTAATATAGCCCAAATACTAGCAACTCTAAAAACATAACAGACAGTGCATGTCTATGTATGTAGCTATGTGTGGTGTGTGCACCCAATATGCTTGTTTGTGCAATCTGAAATGGAACACGCAGTGGAAGGTGCTACAACCCTCCCCATCTTGTCAGGCATGATCATTTTTTTTAAACATTTAGATGAAAAACTTGTGTAGATGTTATATATTAAATTAAACAAGATAATTTGTTTATTCAAATGATACTACTTTAACATTAACATGACCACAAATCAAATTGAAGACTTCAGATGCAAATGAGTTTTCTTTTTATCAGGCTCCTATATTTATGTTCAGTTATTTCACTTTAATGGCATAGAAAAGGACCTATACATTTCCATTAAAGTAAAATGACTGAAACCTACATAGGAGCCTGAAAAAAATGCTAATTTTAGATGAAAATTTCAGACGGCACTTAAAGGCTTTTGCATCTGAAGTCTTCAATTATAAACCAGGTGTATAATTATACTGTATTTTCTTGGTTGTGCTGTTTGTCATGTATGATTTATAGCTAATTTTTGCATATCATGCACGCCAAAGTCATTTTCTACGTATAAATAGTGCGCCAAATAGAAAGAGAAACTCATGGAATTGATGCACACATTCATGAGATTGGGTTAAAATTTACATTTTATGACTTAAAAAAATGCATGTAATGCCTTTTTTTCCTGATTTTTTTGAGATCACATCTTTTGTTATGTTGCCGTAATAAACGGAGACGTGCAGAAAAGCAGCATCTATTTCGTGCACAACTTAAACAAACTATAACAGGTAAAGCTGTCAGCTGTGTGGACATTAACAATATCGTTAACAATTCTCGTTTAAAATCGATACTAAGATGGCTTGTTATCAGGATCTTTAGTGTTGTTAATGCGCGAACTTCATATTATTTGTAGCAAACTTGCCGTCCAATAAAAACAAGAAGCTTTGTGCTCTGCTACCTTTGAATAAACAAAGTATCATCTTTAAAATTTTGCCAAATTCATAACGAAATTCAAACAATAAATGCTTTAATGTGTTATGAGCAATCGCGCCTCAGTTCAAGCGGCACGTGAACCCATCATATCTTTCTCTTTACTACTATAGTACGAAATAAACATGAATGGACACCAAAAGCTATATTATAAGATAGCCTACAGTGCAACCTACTGAAATGGCTCATGTAATCGCTCATTCAGTGTTTCAAACTGTGGAAAACATGTTTACAAAGCTTGTAAACAATCCCACATAACAATACATTTACCTCAGAATAACAGTTTGCGTCCATAAGCTCATTGGTCAGCTAAAAATAACTATAAAGAGGATATATTTTGCTAAATATGTGCACTATATTGCATATTCATATTTTTACTTAACCTGTTGTCTACATGATAAGAAAGAATGCACGTAGCTTGTGTTGTCACGGTACCAAAATTTCAGTATTCGGTACCAATACCAGTAGGGCTGTCGCGATAACCGCAATATCGCAGTACCGCGCTATTGACGAGCAAACCGCAGAGGAATGCAAGAACCGCAGCAACCGCGATTTTTGTGTGTTTTCTTTTTCTTTTTTTTTTTCGTAAGGTTATGCACTTCTCGTTTTACACTTCATGCATGTGGACTGAATATTAAACAAGTTAGTAATGATAACATCATGTGTACCATGCTGATTTGTACAGAAGCTCTGTAGATTTGCACTTAACAAGCCTAGACAGACAGTGAATGAGAGAGAGATCGACTGAGTGCGTGCGATTATTTGCGTCTGTCCTCCAGGCCGAGTCAATATTTTAAGTTTCTACTAAAAGAACGGAGAACAAATGTATTAGGTATTAGGTAGGGCTGTCGCGATAACCGCAATATCGCAGTACCGCGCTATTGACGAGCAAACCGCAGAGGAATGCAAGAACCGCAGCAACCGCGATTTTTGTGTGTTTTCTTTTTCTTTTCTTTTTTCGTAAGGTTATGCACTTCTCTTTTTACACTTCATGCATGTGGACTGAATATTAAACAAGTTAGTAATGATAACATCATGTGTACCATGCTGATTTGTACAGAAGCTCTGTAGATTTGCGCTTAACAAGCCTAGACAGACAGTGAATGAGAGAGAGATCGACTGAGTGCGCGCGATTATTTGCGTCTGTCCTCCAGGCCGAGTCATATATATTTGTGAAAATAGGTTGTCATATCCAAGGGCCGCGAAATCTCTGTCTTAGCATCGACACATAGCTGGTCAGCTGAGCCTTCTAAAGTGGCGCTCAAAGTTAAAATGATTTCAACAGCATGTTTCATTACGTCTCTCTTTGAATGAATCAGCGTTTTTGAACGTGTAGTTGAATGAACGGTTTAAAGACTCACTCAAAGACAGTCCCTTTCCACCACCTTGTGGCGCAACAATCTAACTGCACTGACTAACAGCCCATCTAGAACGCGCGCAGGTGGAGATATCAGTAGAAAGTCTCTTGTCCAGTCAGATTAGAAGATCAGATCAGAACTAACTGTTATACATATAGGCTAACCATAGCCTAACGATCTTATTGTCAGGTTTATGTTCTGCTATGTGGACCGTTATTTTGTCATTCTCTTTGAATGAATGAATCAGCGTTTTTGAACGTGTAGTTGAATGAACGGTTTAAAGACTCACTCAAAGACAGTCCCTTTCCACCACCTTGTGGCGCAACAATCTAACTGCACTGACTAACAGCCCATCTAGAACGCGTGCAGGTGGAGATATCAGTAGAAAGTCTCTAGTCCAGTCAGATTAGAAGATCAGATCAGAACTAACTGTTATACATATAGGCTAACCATAGCCTAACGATCTTATTGTCAGGTTTATGTTCTGCTATGTGGACCGTTATTTTGTCATTCTCTACTGTTTACCTCACTTCCTGTATTAACGCTATTTGGTTTCGGATTTATTAATAACGTTAAACAAAAATTAAATGTACAAAACCAATGCCATTCTTATTTAAAATTGTTTCAAGTTTTTCCACAAGTAATAAACGTATGAATAAAGTAAACAAGTTTCACCCAAAAGTTTTGTCATAGTTCTGCTGCCACTGAAAAACATCTGTAAACGGTTGTCTGTTTTAGGGTTTGCTGGTGTGTTTCAGGATCTTCCTCAGTCTGCAGCTGTAAAAGGAACCTATAATATACTTAAGTAAAGCAATGGGCTGAGTCTGACCAAATGCAACATTAGATCACTGACACCAGCTAAAATATCACTTTCAGTAAATAACAAACCTCAGCTTTTATAAGAAATTTAGATAAGATTACAAATATTAAGTGTATCAAATAGATGGAAACTAGTATTA